CTATGGGTGACAACAATTCTGGCACTCCCATACCAAAAAAGACCTGAGAAAAATGAAGGAAAATAGTACTACTAATAGTCTGAAAATTCCTGCAACCATTATGCCACTTCCCCCTGTTGCCTACTATTAGTTGATACCGTAATCAACAAAAAATGAGGAACTAGTATGCAAGTTGCCAGTTTCCAGAACATAAGTTGCTTGTGTTGTTGTGTAAATTTGCTACTTTTCAACATGTAAATTGCTCAGACAGAAAAAAGAGCTAAAAAATGTACTACAGAAGCTACTATTAAATACAAGAACAAAACAAATCCTTCCTGTGAACATTATCCAACTGTGTGCATGGCAAACGATAGAAAGTTCGATTAAGTCTGATAACTACTTGGGCATACTTGAAAAAATATGTATGTCGCTTGCCCAAAAAGATACATTGCCTTGCTTGCTCTTTGAAAGTGAATTGCCTACTCTAAAAAAATGGTAGTGTTTCCTAAAAACAATATGACAATGATATGTATACTAAAACTGAAAAATTCAGTTACCCGCAATTGGCCATATTCTCCTGGAGCCTTCCTGTCCTTCTTGATAACTCTAGAGATTAAATCTGAATTCCAAACTGAGACCCTTGGTACCAAGTTCGGGATTGGCTCATCAACATCCAGAGAGTCTAGGTACAACAGCTGCATAGAGACACGGAGAAAGATCAAAAAAATTAAGTTAGCTAATGAATGCAAAAAGAAAGGAGAAGGTAACTAAACAAAAGGATGCTTGAAAAAACAAAACAGCTTGAAGCACTTACAACAAGGTGGAAAACACAACAACAAACAGCCTTCTTGTTGGCACGCCCCGAAATGAACGCAAGCTTTAATTGATCAACAACAAACTGGCATATATTGGTTTCCGTTATTCCATTGACATCCATGACCGCCGGAAAGCTCTTTGGGGAAATACTCAAACTAGTTGAAGGGGCAAGGAAGCATGGAAAAACAAGAGCTAGCCAAGCGTGGACAAAATCATCATCATGAGATCCTCCCATGTCAACGATCATCTTGCACCATTCTGTGAGGGTTGGAGAGTTCTTGGATGTGATGTTGTAAATACTGTACATTGCCTTTGTGATTTCAGGCCGATTCTCGAAGCACACCTTCCTGCCCCTGTTGGGCAAACCCCATATCCTACGGACACTTGCAGCATCTACATGAATCTTCCCCCTTTCTGGAATGACTATCTGCGAAATCTCCGGGTCGTAATGCTTCATTATCCACTGGCTGAGATCTCCGGGCATGCTACTCGCTGCAAGGTCCAGAATGCCACCAAATTCTTTTCCGATGATGACACCCTTTTGGTCAGGAACCAAGTCCTTGTTCAACTTGAAGAGCCTTGCAGGGGATGCCCTGTTCCTACGACCCTATTGCGCATAAGGAAAAAACATAAACGGGGGATTAGCAAAAAAAGAAAAAAGGTTCATCACAACATAGGCAACTTAGGCAGCATTGCTGGGCAACTGCTCAGTGAAACTGAGGCAACTATGCAAAATACCTCAGTTCCTCCCGTCTTCTGGCGTTTTGCTTTTGGAGGCTGCTCGACGTCTGCACCTTCAACATTTTTATTCCCCGCATCTGCAGCTTGGCTCTCATTACTATTCTCAGTACTAATGATATCATCAGGTCGCTTCCCCCGATGGACAACTGCCTTAGTTCTCATACGCTTGTGCCCAGTTATTGGTGCACTGCTCCGTGGCTGGGAGATGGAAACCACATAAATCAATAAAAAATGAAAAAAAACAAACTCTATTATGTACAAGAAGAACATAAAACTTCCTGAGCATGTGCACACCTGTGCTTGATGCTCTTCATTCCCATGAGATGCAAGGTCGTCATGACTTGATCCAGCAGGTCCATCCTGTTTAGACTTATGACTTGTCCCAGCCATCTATTTTCTGCTGCATATTTAAAAGACAAAAACAGTGAGATTCATCATAAAAAGCACATTAGAAAAATGATTCTGAAAGAACTCTATATCATCCAACGAATTTCGTTTTACTAAATTCTTACTGAACTTAACAAACAGCAACTTACAAAAAGTGGGCAGTGAAAAGGGTTGTAAACTATCTGATTTTCACTATATTACAACTATCCTATAATTGGCCCTATTACCCTCCCTCTACATGTCCTGCAAAATCTGAAACAAATAAAGGCGCATAGAACAGAAAATCACAAAATGAATCCTCGTGAAATGCTTAAAACTGTCCTACAAATAGCCCTATTAACCTCCCTCTACTGGATTACTTCCTACGTCACACACACACACAACAAAGTCACATGTGCATTTTCCATTGCTAAATCATTACTTTCCTGCACTGAAAATCAAAACACACCGTCAAACCCACCTTCGTAGGCAACACACGGTCCATATCAGGCAAGTCACTCACAAAAACAAGGGCAACATTAACATGAGACAGGCATTGCTGTCCTACAATAAACCAAAAACACACTTTCAAAACACCTTCGTAGGCGACACATGAAACATGTCAGGCAAGTCACTCACAATACAGGGGCAACATTGACATGAGAGAAGCATTACTGTCCTACGCTAAATGAAAACACACTGTCAAAAACACCTGCGCAGGCAACATATCAACCATATCAGGCAAGTCACTCACAAAACAAAGGCAACATTGACATGAGAGAAGCATTATTCTCGTACACTAAATCAAAAACACTGTCAAACACTCCTGCGCAGGCAACACATGAACCATATTCAGGCAAGTCAGTCGTTAATCAGGATCGACCTCCACATCTACAACACCAGAAAACTACAGCCCCAAGGCTTGCCTTCGAAACCTACGAATCCCAGTTCACCAGTAGCCTAGGAACACGAAATGCCCCGTGTCGTCGTCCATCTCCAAATTAACAAGTGCTCCAAACAATTTCTACCATCTGCTACTCGATTTCATCAACTTAGTGGAGGGGCGCGTCGACCCGCCGCGATTCGGCACCGCGGAGACCCGTCAACGCGCGCCGTTCCTCCTCTGTCCGCGGCGGAGCGGCAGAGCACATCGATTTGGTGTTCCTAAACGCGGATGACCGTAAGAGATCGATAGGCATACCAGGGATTCGCCGCGATTTTGCCCTTCTGCGCCAACAGAACAACGGCCGCGCACGCCGTTCCTCCTTTGCCGAGTCTCCGGTGCTGCTCCTTCTGACGTGGCCTGCAGCGCGTCGTCTCTCCTCGGTCGCGTCTCCGCCGCTGCACCACCTTCCTTCACGCCGCCCCCTCTGTCCCGCCCTAGCTCCGGTGGAAGACAAGCGCCGAATCGCCGACACGCCGCCGGCTGCTCTCACGCTGGATTTGGGGGAGGAGTTGGGGGGATTGGAACGAGATCTGTCGCTGGGCTCGGGGCAGTTTCGAATGGGAGGGGGAGTGGAGAGGAACAGGAGAGGGGATGAGAGAAGCAACCGCACTCGAGAACCAACGGGTCTCGACCACCACGACCAGGGGACACCTGGCGCGCGCATCGACGGTTTCCCCTGAGCCCACTGGAAAACGCGCGTGACTGCAAGATCTCGATCGGACGTCGCACGAGCCCGAGTGCTCTTTAAGACAAAGTAGCACTCGACCACTTTTTAGGATTTAGGAAAGAAAATATGGCTAGACTTGTCAGCTCTTCTATTCGGCCAGGAGAATCTTTAAATCCATTTTGACTTCGTTGACCATCATCATGCATTACCTCGCAGAAAAGGGAGGAAGAAATACAGCTTGATTTTCTTCACAGTTCGTGTTGGATGTAAACAAAATCGAATCAGTGCTATAAATACTCCCCCCGTTTCATAATATAAGAGACAGAGGGAGTAACAAATGACATCCTTGAAAATTATTACACCTTTTTGATTCCATAAAAATAATATGTACCGAGCCGTGTTGATCGTTGTATAGGAAAAAAATATTGTGTCGTGGTAATAGTTGGTTTGGCACTTTATTATTAGTTAAAATTGAATCATAGTACCATCTCTAGATAACAAACTGATTAAATTCTTCAGTGGCGCTGCCATCCAAATTCAAGGCTCCAAGCAGAAAGAACGGTAGGCCTTCTTTGATTCATAGGATAGGAATTTTTTCTTTTACAAATTCTATCCTATAAAATTTCTACAAAAATCCTACCTAAAAAGGAAAGAAAAACCCACCACGAGGGGCAACAGGCAGCAGCAGCCTCCACCAGGCCACCACTCCCCCAGTCCGTTCTCGCCGGGAGTAGCAGTGCCTCGCCGGCGCCTCTGTCCCCAAATCCAAATGGCGGACGACGCCGTCGGAGCGAACTGCCCTCGCCGCAGCACGCGCCTCCACCCCCGGATCCACGCGAATGAGGAGGAAGCCGAAATTGCAACCCGCCGTTACAGCCCGCGCCTCCATCCCCAAACCCTCGCGAGCAAGGAGGTCTCCGGAGTGACCCGCCGCCACCGCCGCGGCACGCCCCTCCACCCTCAGATCCACGGTAATGAGGAGGGAGCCGGAGTGACCCGACGTTGCAACCCGCGATTCCATCCCCAAATCCACGCGAGTGGGGATGGGGAGGCCGCCCGAGTGACCCGCTGCCGCCGCGGAACCTCGCCGGAGGCGGCTGACTCCCTGCCGGCCAGCGACGATCTCCTCCGGGAGATCCTCCTCCGCCTCCCGCCGCAGCCGTCCTCCCTCCCACGCGCAGCCGCCGCCTGCAAGCGCTGGCTGCGCGTCGCCGCCGACCCCGGTTCCTCCGCGGCTTCTCTGTCCGCCACCGCAAGCCGCCCCTCCTCGGCGTCTTCGAGCCCCTCGACTGGGAGGTCGACTCGCGCGGCCTCCTTAATCGTCGCTCCTTGAAGCGCCGTGACAAGTGGATCGCGTTCACGCCCATCCTCGACCCTCCCGACCGGATCCCTCCTCAGCGCTTCGATCTGCGACATCACGGCGTCGAAACCGGCATCCGCTCCAGGGCCCAACTGCTCGGCTGCCGCCACGGCCGCCTTCTCATCATGGACCATGTGCCCATGGAGTTAGTTGTCTTCGCCCCCATCACGGGCGAGCAGCGCCGTTTGGCCGTTCCCACGGAGTTCAAGAGGGACTTTCTCCATGCGGCGGTGCTCTGTGCTGCCGACGAGCTTGGCCATGTGCATGGCAGCTGCCATTGGAGCCCATTCAAGGTGGTCTTGGTGTCCATGTACAGAAAGGATAATCGTCCGGTCGCTTGTGTTTACTCCTCGGAGGCTGGTGTATGGGGCAATATCATCTTCACATATGCTCGTTCTGAGCTTGCTGATGCTAATCCCGGAGTTCTTGTTGGTAATGTCCTTTACTGGTCGTCTAAGTCTATTGATGCCGGCCAACGTTTGCGGGATTTGGATAGGCGCACAAACGACATAATTGAGTTTGATTTGGATACACATAGCCTAGCTGTGATCAAGGGGCCTCATTGTCTTAGTAACTCACTCAGACATCAGATCTTCAAGGCAGAGGATGGTTCTGTTGGTCTCACCATGTTGTTTTATGGTAGATTCACAATGTGGCGGAGGAAGATTGATTGTCATGGTGTTGCCACATGGTTAAAGCACAAGAGCATTCAAATGCATCCTATTCTTGGGCTCTCTCATCACCTTGTGATATCGCCGAGATGGATAGATGTACTGGGGTATGATGAGGATAATGGTGTAATATTTTTACATGTGGACGCCAGTGTCTACATGGTTCAACTGATGTCGATGCAATCCAAGAAACTTTATCGAAGCTATTGTCCCAATAATAGATGTCACCCTTTCACAAGTTTCTATGCACCAGGTGATTGCTCATCCTTAGTCTGTGTATTGTGGTAATAACCAAATCCAATAATATCACAAAAAAGGTTGATGGAATAACTTCTGAAATAGCAGTTTTTTGGTCACTTGTTGAAGATCCCTGTTGCAAGTGACGAGTACACTTGTACTACTACACAGACAAATTTTTTTTTTTGAATTTCTTGTCTCTAACAAGCTAGTGTAGAATTTGTTAGTTTGGGTGTGCTATTATCTTTGTCACCTGGATATGTGGGATAAATTCTAGGCAGTCTCTTTTTTTTTCTTACAAGCGAAAACTTTCTTTATGAGGTAGCTAAATATTACTGTTTCTGGATTGCTCTTTGCATTTAAAAATTATGTGGCTTTGTTTATCTATTGTTAGCATCAAAAGTGGGTTATAGAACATTCATAAAAACCTAAGTAGTTATTTTGTCGGTTCATCTATGTAACTTGACTCACTGTTGCCTCTTATGTCTTTTCCTTGTGGCTTTTATTAATCGCTTGACTTCTTATGCTTCTGGTCATAGCCATTCCTGGTGTATGCGATGGAGCTGAAATGTTGCACGATACGTAGGATGACTGTCTGGTTGCATGTCATAATGTGCTGGAATGGTTCAACAGGTAACAACATCTTCGAGATATAGTTTGTGAGGTCTAGTCGTCTAGATTGTTTTTTTATGGAAACTATTGCTCATCCGGCTGCAGGGTTTCATGGATGTTAATGATGGGTACAACAATTAAAACAATTTTAGGTTGTAACTTATAAATGACGTGCAGATGTTTCACACGGTGTTGTGTTGCTGTTGATATTACCTGGTCAGGCTGGGTGTTTGGTTAGACCGAACCGATCGGTTCGGTGCTTCGGTTATCTTGATATTTGGTTTCCTATATTTACTAACTGTTTGGTCTCATGGAAAATTGATAAGCGATATTTCAGTGCACCGATAGTTTGGTTCGGTCCTCAGAATAACCGAAGAAAACTGAGAATAGGTTAGGGAGCAAGAAATCCGTAGTCAAAAGTCAAAAGGGACAACAAACAGGCCAACATAGTGGAGAAATTAGTAGGATGAAGGAATTAAATGGCGCTGGATATTCTCGCATGCGGGCCGCTGGCTGTGAAGGAGTGATGGTCACTAGCTCGCTGTTGCGTGGGGGCCATGTACGTTGTCGGCCGCCGCTGCGTGGTAGCCATGGGCGCTGCCTCTGCCGCCGCGCGGGAGCCAAGTGCGTCGCCGGACCCTGCCGCGCGGTAACATTGGCGCTGCCGCCGCCATCACTGAGTTGGAGCCATGGCTAGCCAGCCGCCACTGGGATTGCATGAGGTGGACAAATGGGGGCGGTGGTGATACGTGATATGCGTGCGTGAAGCAAGAACGTTATGGATAAGTTGCGGCCTGTGGGACTGCTCCTGTTGGCTAGAAGCTTCGTATTGATGGGCTATTGGGCTTAGTTATGATGGGCCTTATATAATATTTCGGTCAATTCGGGAATTCGGTCAACCAGATCCAATGACCGAACTTATTTCGGTTTTAGATTTGTGCGAACCGAACATACAACCGAAGTTTTGGTCCTCGGTTATTTCTGCTTCGGTCCCTGTTTTTTCGGCTCTGGTCTTCCGTTCTCGGTTTTTCTCCCCAGCCCTATTACCTGGTTGGTATTTGGTCATGCCTAGAGCTCACCCTTGGTTTAGCTATTTCAGAACCAGCAAACTGAGAGTAGACATTAGTAGCATTCAACTATCCCACCCAAGTAAATTACAATGTCAAAGGGCTTCACTGATTTACTTCGCTGTCATTTGTAATCCTAGGAGATATAGGACTGGAGGAGTATGATATCCATTTCATTTTACGACGCACGCACAACTTGCTCATTGACTGTTTTTAACCATGTATGCTGCTGCATAGGTGCTACCATTAGGTCTTGTCTATATTTCTAGTATCTACTAATGGATTAACAATTTTGTTTTCTCCAGGTGAAGTAATTAAGGGCTGCTGCTGTTCTTCACAAGTTTGTCGTGTTGCATCAATCTGGTCGGCAGTGTATATATATGTTATGTGGAAGAACTTACTGTGCTTGTGTCGTAGCCTTTTCCACTAAGTTTGTAATGTAACAAGATGCTTTTTAATATCTATTCGAAGGAAGTTCAAGACAGATTCTGTTGTACTCCGTATCTTTTATCCCATGGTTGTGTTTGGCAAGTCTTCTCTGCTATTTTCTGGAGAGAAAAAACTCTGACAGGTCTTCTGTGCTATTTTCTGAAAAATAAACTTATCACGTCCGTTCGAACAAACAGTGCCATGTCTATTCAGTTGGGCTGACCATCAGGAGCTAGGAGAACGGGAAACCAACGAACAGCCTGCAGAGGAAAGAACTGAAGCATGATGAAGGTAATACTATAGGTTTATCCACTTCTATTTTAAGGCATTTGGTATCATATGCCAGGAAAAGAATCTTGCATAACTCGTTTGTACACATGGATGCTTATTATTATGGCGAACACATTAGAGAAATAGTTTGGTGATGTTCAAATCTATATAGTTGGGTTTCAGATTTCAAATGCTTTGGGTAGAGGCCATCTTAAATATTTTAAGCTACATACAATTTCAATTCTCTTTTCAATGATTTATAGAAGAAAGGAATTCAGAGACCTATATTGAATTATTGAGCCTCATGATTATCCTTAACAAATACCTTGGTTTTAGCCTCCCTGCTGATCAGCCGTACAGAGCGCTAGTTGCTGGCAAAATGTCCTCTTCGCCCACTTCCTTTTCTAGTATTGTATATATGTCAGACTTGGGTAAGCAGGTTTCATGTTTGTTACTGTTTAACATTTAGCAGCTTATTTACCTCTACCTTTTTCATAATTTTGTATTTAATTTGCAATACTAAATGGTTAGAACTTCGTGTAAATGTAGTGTTTTCTACTCCCTCTGTAAACTAAAGAGTAGTGTTCTAAACGCTCTTATATTAGTTTACAGAGGGAGTAGTAAGCTTGCTGGAACTTGAATACACCTTGGTTAGCAAAACGTTTGTTAATTTTCAAACACTCCATCGTCATATTTAAGTCGCAACACTTAATGGTTAGAACTGTATGTGTAAATGCAGTGATTTTCTGTGCCTGTCTGTCAGTGCATGCATTGTGCTGCGAACTGGAACTTGCAGCAGAAAGTTTTCATTTAACTTTGTTTTCAAATCTTGAAGAACTATATATAATGTATGGTTTTGCTTCATGTGGTGCCACTTGCTGGTTTGCATGTTAGTTCTGTGCAGTGAGTCTATATGGCAGTAAAATGTCGTTCACATTGTTTTCAAGTCGTCCTGCTTTAGACACTTAGGTGTCGCTTAGGCAATAGGGCGCCCTAGTAGGTTCTTAGAAATATGCCAGCTTTAGGCGCTTAGGTGTCAGAGCGGTTGGTGCTCGCCTTAGGTCGCCTTACTGCCTTATAAACAACTTCAAACCTATATTCCCACATACCATCATTGTTAGGAATATTTAAAATGTAATTTCACATAAACTAATGTTTCTTTATTTATTTTCTCATTCAAATACATATATCCTGTAGCAAGCTTTCCTGGATTAACTCGTGGTATCCAGTTCCCAAGCATTCTCTTAATTTAGTGTCCTTTCTGAGGCATGGACCTGGTTTCTTTTGTAGGAGGTGGTCACTTTGGCTGCATATGATTATCTGGTTCTTTTGTGGATGTGTATTTGCAGGCACGCAATTAGCGCGGGCAGAAACTTGGAAGCCAGGGTAAGCACTTCCATGCCCTGAGAGTGAGATTTGTTTTGCTGCTGGTAGTCCAATGCTTTGGATGCTATTTGCTGCTTGACTTTGCTTGTATTCTCTGCTGAAATTCCATGCAATTTCGAAGAGTACAGAGAGCAAGACTGGAATCAATTTGGAATACCTGTGATGGGAACGACATGAGCCCAACTTAAGCTCTTATGACCTTAAGGCTGAGGCCGCCACTGTAGGTGTTAGTTTTTGGTGAATTTTGTGGAGATAAGCATGTTAGAGACTGTCCATTTCTACAAGGATAAGTATTTCCGAGCGGAAGGAGTAAAACACTGTCATGATCTGGAGCTCTGCACATTTCGGTGCTTTACCATGATATAGTAGAAACGCTTTAAGGCACCTGTGGTGCATTCATTCATTCATTCATTTCCACAGATCGACCAGCAGCGAAACTATAGGAATGAAGGGTCAGCACATCAGATAGACAAGCACTAGCCTGGCACTGGCAGCGACCTCAGCTAGTTCAGCTCCAAGCTACAGCAGTAGATGAGGTCTCTAACGTGCCCAGAGCCGGCCCTTGTCAGTGATTTTCTCTAAGACTTTGAGAAGGGGTCCTTTCTTGCAGTATCTTTACTATTAAAGGAGAATCGGACGTCGTGATGGTTCGACCTCTCGCTCTTCATCCTTCCCTCACGCTAATCTCGGATCTCAAACGAAACTACGCACGATCGATAAACCAGAAAAATCTAGCTGAACCAACTCCACCCCGCACGCTCTATGATCACTTGCCACTTCGAAACGACTCCCTGCCCCACCATGATCTCTCTCTCTCTCTCTTGGATGACATGGTCGTCATTGGATCCTCCCCTTCGCTCCTGCTCCTCTCCCTTGTCAACTACGTCTAGCGCCATGCCTCGCAAGTCGTGATTGCTGCAGCCCTACCATCGGATTGCGAGATACTCGCCTCGGCTCTGGCCAAGTCGCATCATCGTCCGCCCGCGGGTTCATCTGGGGCAACATCCCGGAGGGGGAGCCGAAGAAGATGGGATTCACCATCGCGCTCACGAAGGACATCGTCGCGCCATCCGCTTCTCCACTTTATACCCGGCCATCGACGTCTTCGGCCTGTCGACCTTCCAGCATTTTGTACTCGTAGGTGTTTTCCTCTTCTCTTTGTTTCCCCTTGTGTGACAAATCCCAGGAGGCTTACTTTCATAATTTCTGAACTGACATCTCTAATCTATCGATACTACTACTAAAATACTCCTGAGTACTATTCGGTGGATGAACATCCAGCGAGTTTGCTTGCACTCTTTTAGCTTGATCTTTCGGATTATATTAAGTTGTTCTTCTGCTTTTGTAATTTCTTCTTTCAGCAGCTTTTTATTTCGGGTGGTGCTCTTTGCTTCACCTCTAACTGTTCTAGCTGGGAGGCCACTCACCATGCCAAAACCCAAAAGGACCTGGACGTGTTTGCTCGCTTCAGTTATCTGGTCGCTGCCGTTGTTGCAATCAGCAGAAAATGCATACTGACTTGACACTGTGTTGACAATTAATGGCAGGTAAAGCATGAGGATGGTGTAAACATTCCGGGAGGTCAACAACAACGGTGGGTATTCTGTATTTACCAGAGATGCAAAACTGCTGCTGCAAGCAGGCAGCACACACTGAAAATTAAAACAGTGCCATGCTCAATGTAAACAATACAGTTATGCAGAGTTCTAATTTTAGTTTTTTTCTTCTCTGTTCATATATATAGACCTATCTACAGACTGAAGCAGCACGCACAATAATCTCTCGGTGAAAAGATTTTGAGCAAATGCAAAAACAATCAAGA